GGGGAACTCTGGGAGTTGAAGTCCACACATCTTCAAGTTGCCAAGGTTGAGAAACACTGCTCTAGAGAGATCCTGAAAATTGGTGCCCATTAATACTGGGCTTCATCACCTGATTGTCTACAATGAGATAAAGCAGCTTTATATGTCCTACCCTATTGAGTCAATGGGAGGGCACGTTGTCACAGATTTTTGCCCATCTATTTGTTTCAGGCAGAATCTCTTGCCTCTAGACGTATATGACCTGAACTGTCTTTCTGGAATGTTTTTGGCAGCACTTGCATGGCAAGAGGGTGTGCCACCCATTCACCGGACGTCTCCTTCCTATCATTACGGATCCAGCAGTGGAGCCACAGATGGGCACAGGTGGGAAACACACCTCTCTCTCCCCTCACAGAAGCCAGATGTTGGTGAGGCAAATGCTTGCATTGAGAGATGTCTCTCAACTTGTGCTTCAACCATCCTTCAGGGGCTGTGAAAGTGACTCCAGCACACAACCACATTGACTACAAACTGGCCCAGAGGCACAACTTGCCACTCATTTCAGTTATTGCAGAAAACGGTACGATGACCGCAGAATGCGGGGAATGGGTGCAGGTAAATCCATTTTTGGAATTTATATAATGGTGGTGTATCACTTGGGACAGCTGAACAGGTGGCATGGACTTTTTGGGGGTGTGCCCCTTTTGGAGAGGTAACCCAGCCAGTTGTTTGTTTCCATTTCTAATGGCATGGCTAGCATCAGCAACTTTTTCTGATGCTGGGTGCCATCTATTGAGATGACAAAAATACTAAAAAATATCTATCATGCATTTTCTCCAGAAAACTAGTGAAATCTCACGGGAGAATGCTAAATTTCACTATTTTTTCTTAAACTGGAAGTCTGTAGGCCGTACTGTGCCAGCCCCTACTGTGTAGAAGATCTCGCTGGGAAATATTGTGATTTACATCACATTTGGAGATTTTCTCCTTTTTTCCAGGCCAGTTGTGATACAGAAGCAACTGCCTGAGGAAGCAGATTGTGGGATTGCTGTTGGGCAGGACATGGAGTTATATACTGAATTCAATGCTCCCCAAAATGCAGCTGTCCAAATATATTACACTACAGCTCCCATCATCCTGAAGACAACACAGTCAACTGGGTTATGCATTTCTTAATTTAGCAGGGCTTCTGGGCCACTCAAGTCCCATCAGCTGTAGTTTACAAAATGCCAAAATGTAGGGTTAAAAACATCAACCGCATAAAGGATTCTCAGAATAGCACCACCCAAGGGCAGGGACGGTCAGCCTACCTATCCCCATCCCCCTTTCCTAAAAAGCCAAGTCTTTACAGCCTCTTGAAAGCCCAGTTAGATGGAGGAAAACCGGATACCCATGGCCAGTTGCTCCAAGGCGGGAGGGCCATCCCTGAGAAGGTTCACCCCCAGGGTCCCTGTGCATGGCTTTCTCTGGTTGAGGGACCCTTCCCTGATGGAACCCCATCTACAGGGACCCTGGGGGTGAGCCTTCTCAGGGATGGCCCTCCCACTTTGTAGCAACTGGCCATGGGTATCTGGCTTTCCTCCATCTTATTGGGTGGATCTTACCTTATGAAGATCTTATCCTCCTGATCTCACCAGGTGGGCAGTTTCAGTCCAGAGAAGACCATCTCATAGAGCTCCATGGAACTGTACATGACCCGCCCACCATGTGTCACTCAGCAGGGACTCAAATGATGTCCCATTGGCTTCCCCTCAACACCCCCAATTCCTTTTGCTTCTCTGCCCCACTGCTGCCATTTTCCCCACGTTTCTGTTTGCAGCCTCTACTTCTCTACCATCTTCAACACACCTCCCCAATATTAGTTTCTTCCCCCTACTGGCCTTTTTCTCTCTGGGTACTCATCCAGCCTTTCCACCAATCTAAGTTCACCACACCATTCAGCAGCATGATGGGTGTGTGTGTGCGCGTGTGTGTCCCAAAAGGCAAGATGGTAGCCCCACAATTAAAGCTTCCTCCTTTGTATATGTGACACTGATGCATGTACAAAAGGGATAGAGTTTAAAGCATGCAGATGTGGCT